AAACCTGGGGGTTTCACCAAATTGGGGGTACCTTTTCTGGGGGTTCCTATAATAAAGACTATAGTCTTTGGGGCTCTATGTTTGGTAATTGCTCGAAGAAACCTCCTACAAACCAAGAAACACTTGGAATCGAGCATATTGGTGTCATACTGGGATAATATAGGGCAATATAGAGACTATAGGGTGTATATATTGGGATAATGATAATGGGAAATAACCAAGCTTACACCGAAGACCTCACTTCTGCATTCTCAGACGACAAAGACAAAGCCTCTCTAACACTCGTCTACATCGTGGCCTATGGTTGTAATGAAAGCGCCGCGCCATATTCAGCAGAATCATGCTACGAGTATCGGGCACCAAACAAGAACATAATTCATATGTCAGAACTTGGGCTTTCGAAAGTTGCGGTGAGGGCTTCGTAACCGAATAATTACAAGGCAAAAGGCTCTAGCTGTAACTGTATGCCCCCCGGATGTGCGTGTCCAGATTACAAGATGCACGCTTGGGATTGGGTGTGTGGAAGATCGGGCGCAGGTCTCAGAAGATTTGGGGTCTTGGGTTTAGGAGCAAGAGCCATGCTTGTAGGTTTAAGGTTTAGGTTTGTAGACTCCAGACAATGACAAGTGCAGATTCATTTGCTCAGTCAGTTTTGCCGTCAGGAGCAGCCTAGAATTTCTGAGAAAGACCAGACTGCTGCAAGGGTAAATGCTTATCCCCTGCTCCTTGTCATAACCCTCTACCTCCAAATGCTAAATGCCAACAAAGTTTTACCATCATACAATGGGGGAGAAATGTCTACCATTAGGGAGTGGGCACGATCATTAGGGGATGGGATCAAATGCTAGTCGGCTGTTTGCATCTGTTTGCTGTTTGGAAGTTCAGGTGCAATCAGACAGTCAACCTTTAAACCCAAACCCGAAACCCAGATCCAAACCCGAACCCCTAAACCTCTTATAGGGATATGGGGGTGGTATAGGGATACATTATGTAAGGGGTTATGCAAGGGTCGAACCCTACCGTGTAAGCCCAAGCCCTGTAGGCCTTCGATTCCGTAGGCGCTGCCCGCATCTGCGCTGCAGCCATCCGGCGGCACTGGGGACTTGGCGACTAATTTGCTGGTTGTTTGGGTTTGGGGTGTAGGGTCTTCTGGGTTTGGGCTTAGGGGATTTTACCACCAAGAATGGAGAATCAAATCGAAAGGCACCTTCAGGCTGAAATGTAAATCCCCAAATACTAGAACAGCTATTATGGGGACCTCCAAAAGTTGGGAAACCCGCCATATACAATGGAAACGGGGGATACGGACATGTACTACAGGGGCCTAACTAATTACCAATATCATGTTGAGGTCCATTTGAGGTACCATAGACCAGAACTAGTTACATCAGGAATGTGGAACCATGATATTGGTAATTATCCCTTAACCCTATTGGATATCCATAATATTGGTAACTATTTAAGCCCCTATATTAGGGGGGGTTCAGGGTCAACTTGCTGGTTGTTAGTAAGGAATGAGGGAACGGAACTGTGAATGGAAATTACAATTAGGGTATAGGGCTTAGGGAATGGACAATAGAGTCTACTATGAGGTCTAGGGCTTCAGGGTTTAGGGTTTAGAGTTTACTGTGGAGTTTAGGGCTTAGGGAATAGAAAAGAAAATGGCTCCATGCGGCCTAGCAGCCAGCGTGCTGAAAATTCAAAGGGAAGCGTTAAGGATTCTCTTAACAATATTCATCCTAGAGGAAAGCACCGGGAATCTTGACACAATTGTACACCCCTTCTTCTGCAACTGACCCTAAACCCTAAACTCTTGCAAGGTGAACAAGTTGGGAAGCCGAGTGGCCTCTGAGCAAAGTTTGATTCGGATTCGGGCTATCAGCTTGGCCGACGGGCCTTTAAGCAACAAATGGTGGCAGTACAGCTGATGTACAAAATCAAAATCGAAAACAGTGGTAATAATAGTAGTAGCAATAGTCATAAAAGCAGTAGTACACAGTAAAACCAATAATAATAACAATAACAATAATAGTAGTAATAACCTGCATGACCCCAAGTAGACAGGACAGTAGTCTGCGAATGACACGAAAGCTCTTTTCAGATCGCATGGCAGAGCGTCTGAAAACGACCCATACACAATGCTCAAGGTAGACTCACTTCGTCTCAGTGCCACCTCCATCCACCCTTACAAAACAATGTCTTCTGTTAGGGTTAAACGGCCAGTGTAGGGGATTGTAGCTAAGGTAGAGGCATCCTAATCTTTCATGCCAGGACGACCATCGTCCATTCTGAGGACCGGGTCCTCGTGGATCAGAATCAGAAACCCCATGTGTGCTCCAGTTTGGCTTTTGATTGTGCGCTCTTTCCTTTCCAGCGCTTGTGGCTGTGCACCGGATGGTCATCCCACATCGGTGCCGCAAGGCCTCTACAACCATTGCGGCACTTCTCTGCAAAGCAATGCTACATGATGATATGGCGTAATTCCCTTACAAGCCCTGACAAACATAATGCAATGTGCCCCAAAGCCCCATTGTAATTAAATGGCCCCCTACGCCAGCTTGTCATTGGGATATGGGACCATGATTCTCTAATCACTACTGTAACCATGGTCAATAGTGGCTAGAAGGATGGTAGTTGTGAAACTACCACTAACACATGTAACAATAACTACCGAAGTACATACGACTCACATCACCTGGGTGCAATAGTCATACTTTAACCATGACACCGAACAACTGGCAACACAAAAACGATGCCGTTGGAACTATCATGACTATGTCTTGGTATTCATACAGTCGCGATTCTCTTTCTTGCTTCTATCACCATGCATAGCTGGTGGTTGATGGAGCTGGGTGGCTGACAGTGTTGGGGTTAAAGCCCTACCTATATCTGTAGTCAATCCCACTCGGACCGAGTGCCGTTGATCTGTACCCCCCCCTCAATTGGGAATGTTCCTGACCACGGCCCACACGCATTGGTAGAGATGCTTGACATGCAGGAGGGGAACTCGGAACTCGAAGCCAACACCTGAAACCCTGAACCCTCCATTCTAAACAGAACCCAAATCATATACATATCCTAAAGCTTATCTAAGACCCTACCGCCCAAACCCTAAATCCTAAGCGCTAACTCTGAACTCATCAGCCCTAACTCCTTAACTGCTCCTAAACCCTACATCCTAAACCTTCAGCAAATGATCTACTCAGACGGGCGGACATTCTCCATGATCCACTTGCTTCACTGTCCTTTCAACTGCAAAGTTTTGTGATTCTGCGGGTGATACAGAAAGTAAACACAGACTCTTGAGGGGGGTTTAGCGCTTAAGGCTTAGGGTTTAGGGTTTAGGGTTTAGAGTTTAGGGTTTAAGGTTTAGGGTTTAAGGTTTAGGGTTTAGGGTTTAGGATTTAGGATTGTATAGCTTTCTTTGTAAAGGGATGGTGTAAGTCTTACTAGGCTTTTCTAAGGATGTATAGGCTATGTCCTGCTGAGTAGGCGTCTGGTACGGACAGTACCTGCAGCAGTAGGCTATGTCGATACTGCGCAGACCACTGACAGGCGGTGAGTAACTGTAGGGCTCATGTAGTGACTGCGTAGCAGGCTTAGCACTTAGCACCAGATAAACCCTAACCCTAAACCCTGAACCCTAAACCCTGAACCGGAAACCCTGAACCCTAAAATCTATATAACCCCATTACAGTAGTTTCCATTTCCGTTTCCATTATCGCAATACTAACCCCAATATATACCCTATAACCACTTTTTAATAACCCCTATATAATCCCTAGAATCCCTATAGATTCCATTTTCTTTTCCATTATCCCTCTGTAACCCCAGAGGTATATAAACCCTAAACCGCAATCGCAGTTGTCCTGCCGTCTGCATCGAGGCAACCCCGGTAGGCGCACCATGCCACATCGCAGTTACCTTTGGTCTCACTCTCTGGTGTTTAAGTAGGGAAAGGATCAAGGTTTGGGGCTTAGGGCGTGGGATTTGGGGTGTAGGTTTTGGGCTTTAGGTTTTGGGATTTGAGTTTTGGGGCTAAGGGTTCTGGGTTCAGGATTTGCGGTTTAGGGTTTGGGGTTTAGGCCTCGAGGCTGCGCCTGTACCGGTCCCTACCCGAACCATGGATGTCATACCTTCTTTGCGCATATGCCCAGATGTGGGATCGTCCCTCCGTTCATGAATCTCCAAGACTAGCCGTTAGGGTATCCTTTCAAAACCGGATCATGTGGCTGAGGAGAGTGGGCTCTTCTCGAGGAAAACTGCAAGGATGTACGGGGATAGTCAAGCATCAAATGAACAAATAACAAGGAAAACTGAATGTAAACTTACTTACTTAAACTGGCGTTGTGTTTACTGGGTTGCTGTTCAGGAGCT